CCCCCCCCCCCCCCCCCCCAATTCTCTGGTAGATTTTATCTAATTTGGCATTCAGCCTGCTATTTAGTCTTTGGTTTCTGCTCTCTCATATTTTGACCTTATCAGAGTTCTTTTGGTCTAAAAGTTCCTTTTTTTATCACATCCTGTTTTTATTTTATAATTGCACTATCTTCTCTTATCTCTGAAGATATTAAATAGTACTTTTTTTTCTTCCTACATAGTCCTTTCCTACTCCTTTTGGTCTTTTCGCCCCTGATGGACTCTATTTTAAGACTTGGGGTTGAACGAGCTGAATGCAGTCTCTGAGTCTGTAGGACGGGTTTCTTCACCGAGCTCCATGGTAGGATGACCCAGTTTCGCTGTTGGTTATGCAATCCCCCACGGCACAGTCTCCAGGTCATTCTCTGCAGACCGGTCAGATGCTCGGAGAGGATCCCTCTGATCTCCTGCCAAGGAGAGAAGGAGAACAGGGGTCCAGAACTGATGTTTACTTACTCCCCCTGCTTTGGACACTATGCTGTTCTCTTCCTGGTCTCCCAGGGCCTGAGACCCTCTGCCTATCTCTCTCTCTGGAGAATGAGCCCGTGGCCTTGTGCAGGGGCGGGCGGGGCGCATCCCAGCCTCTTCTAGTAGAGGAAGGATCTGGGCCTCCAACTGCTGCTTAAACAGACTTTCCACCGATCCTTCCTGTTTGTCACCCCTTCCTGCGTCCCGACCTTCAGAGCTACGCGCCGCCTCTGGCTCCTGAGCTTTCGAGGGGCCCGTGGTGAAGGGTAGGGTGCCTGCTGGGCTCCTCCACGGCCGGAGGGACTCTGTTTTCTCAGTCCCCCAAGATGTCCTCTCCAGCCTCCTGTGTTTTGGCTGTTGACTCTCTCCCAGTGCCCATCCGGGGCGGTTTCTCCCTTCACATAAAAATCCCTGTACTGACCTGCAGGTGGGGTGTCAGGAAAGAATCATGGTACGAGTCCAGTCTGCCATCTGGACCCAGGCGTCTCTCTCAAGTTTTTCACATTTCTGGTTGCATGTCACTTCCGATGTTCCTGGCTCTTCACTTAGACTGCAAGCCCCGCGAGACCAGTCTGGGTGTCGCTTGTTTGTTTCATGGTACGATAGCCCACGTGTTGTTTACTCATTCCCCCACCCCGTGTTTTTCTTCAGTGGCTCGAACAATCCCCGGTATATGACAGACACTAAAAAAATAGTTATGGGTGGTTTAACCAACTTTCTCCCCTCTGCTGGATCTGGAAAACTCCCACTCGTCCATCACGGCCTCGCACAGGCACCTCCTCCTCGAGGGGCCCTGGGGACACCCCGACACAGAACGGGGCATTCGGTGGCATCATGGCAGCCGCACCGGGTTACCCTTCAGCTGCTCTGTCTAGGAGGCAGCTCCAGCCGGCAGGGCCAGCTCTAGGCTCACAGCCTGACTCAGGGAGTGTTGGTTCAGTGAATGGGGAACCCCCTTCCCCTCCAGCCAGCCTCCCCCTCCTCCGTCCCACATCCTTCTTTTGAAAGTTTGTTTACATGGCAGTGGTTGTGTAAACAGGAAACGAAGCCATTAAAATGGGAAGAGTGGAGACGGAGGGATTGGGAGTGTGCCTCCATCTGAAATGAAACGGGAAGGGAGGTGCTATTCTCTGGGGGCACCGAGTCGCCCCTAATGCTCTGAAAGCCGAGAAGGAACGCTCATTAAGGACGGGGCTTGCTGTCAACAGCTCGTCTGTTGGCTTCCTCCACACAGTTCCTCTCTCTTCGCTGAGGGGGAGCCTGGGGAGTCTTGAGCCTGCTGCCAAGGCCCCACCGGGCTGCTGCTGGCAGAGCCTGGCGCCCACTTAGCACCTCCCTGGCCACCACCCCTGGCTGCTGAGAAGGTGGCGGTGCCGCTGGTGACCTCTTTGCCCTCGACACCATCTTCATCCCAGGCTTCCCGGGCCTGGAAGGAATGGGGATGCTAATGATTCTCTCCCTTCTCCGTGGGGTGAGGAGGGTCAGGTCTGCTTCACAGGGGTGTCTGGGAACAGGCTGGCTATGACTGGGCGTGGCACTGTACTGGGCACGTGGCCTGTGTTCCGGGAAGGTTGACAACGATGATCACCCCCAACAGGTTGCAACCAGTTAAATCAGTGTGACCAGTCACATCACACAGTTACCCATACCCCTCCCGACAGGGCGCCAGACGGCAGGCGTTGGGAAGGCCTGCTGGGCTCATCTCCCTGAGAGACATGAACTCGGTTATCAGGAGGGGGCAGATCTGCAGGGCGGATGGAATTGGTCCAAACAAAGAATTTAACTGTCCAAGAAAAGAAAGACAGACAGACAGACGACTCAGTGGGCAAAGGGTACGAACCAGACGGCCTAGAGGACACATGCAGCATACGTGTAACTCCATCGATTGGAAGAAATCCGCATCATTAACCAGTGCAGCTAGTGTCCCTCCATCTGTGGGCCTTTGAGCGGCTCCCCTCTCTCCGCTCCTGTGACTAATGCTGCTGGGACACGGGAGGGTAGATGTCTATTCAGGTCTGTGCTGCGATTGTTGGTGAGGCATCTGCCTCGCCTCGTTTTGCTATGAAGCCCGAAAGTTTAGGGTCTGTCCTTTGTCCATAGCGGGGGGGTGGGGTTGGAGGGGGGCGCAGGGAGACTTGGAAGCCAGCCCGAGGCACTCAAGGCCGCGTGCTCTTGTGGGGAGCCCCTGCTGCCAGGCCACAGAGCCCCGCAGAGGCCCTGAGCGCGGGGTGTGATGCCGACCTTTCCTCTCACAGCCATGCCCTTCGCGTTTTGCACGAGAGAGAAGCTCCCGTGGACAGAGTTTGCCGAGTCAGCCGAAGACGGGCCCACCACCAGATTCTGCCAGAAGGTAGGACATCACCTGCTGCCCTGGCATCAGCTGCCAGACACGTGCAGGGCGCCGAGCGAGGCCACGGCTGCTGGGCGTGGCCCTCGCCAGGGGAAGGCACCTGCCTGCTGCTTGTTTTGCCAGCTCAGATGAGATAAGGCTACTTACTGTCCTTGGGTAAAAGTGGTACTTTCCCTTAAAATCATGGCGTTTCGGAGCCAGGAGAGCCCCTGATGGCTTTTTCAGGTCAGGGAGCTTCAGCCGGGGGCGGGGGGTGGCCTGGGTGACCCCGTGGCAGGCTCTGTAGCGGCACCTGGCACGCGGGGGCCAGGGACAAAGTGGACCCTTGTCCAGCACTCCGCTCGTCCGCCTGCTGTCCGCCTGGGTTATGTAAGCCCCTCCGCGTGCCCCGTCTTCCTCCCTGTAGAAACTGGCCTTCATTTTTCTTGATTAAAACCTCATAAGACGTGGTGTAGGGTCTCATTTATATGAAATGTCCAGAATAAGCCAATCACGGAGGCAGAAAGCAGATTAGTGGTTGCCCGGGGCTGGACAGCGACGGGGTGGAGAGCGACTGCTACTGGGTCTGGGGTTCCCACTTGAGGTCGTGAGAATGCGCCACCATTAGATTGTGGTGGCGGCCGCACAGCTCTGAGCGTGCACTGAAGACCACCGAGGGGCACGGGTTTTATGCTCTGGGAATGCGATCTTCGTGAAACTGCCACCCCAGGCGCCCTTACGGTGCAGAGGTTACAGATAGGAGCTCACCCCCACAGGAGAGGCCAAATGCCTCTCATTCTCAACGGAAAAGAACTCCTTTCCTTCCTCCACATCCCGTCCCAGAGTGTCTACGTGTCTTGGTGGGTTTTCCAAGCAGAACTGAAATCATGGTGAATCTGTCAATACCTCGTTGTGATTCCAAACACCAGTGTTCTGAGGCTATTGGGCCGGGGGGCGGGGCAATCTCTCAGTCACCAAGCGGTTGATTCTGTGCTGTGGGAGGAAAGAGGGGGGGAAAAGGGGGGGGCCGCTTAGGAGGCGGCTGCAGCTGGCACGCTGCACCAGGGCTGGAGGAAGAGGAAAGGGAGAGTGGGGACGAGAAATGGCACCAAGGGACACCCGTCTGCATGGAGAGGGGCCTGGGGACGCACCGCCACCGCTATATGGCTCATAGCTTCGCCTTCCACCCCTGTGCCTTCCCTCCCTCCTGTCTTTAAGGCCAGAGGTAATGGCAGGCTAGTTAGAGTCGAAGACAAATGATTGGCTAGTTAGAGTTGAAGATAAATGATTGGCTAGTTAGAGTTGAAGATAAATGATTGGCTAGTTAGAGTTGAAGACAAATGATTGGCTGGGGCTGTTCATCCCACCGGTCATCAGGTCCTGATGATGTTCTTATTTGAGACAAAGGAATTCAGTATCAGAGAGCCTTTCTATGAATATCTATACAAAGTAAGATGATTATTCCTTTACTTTTTATTGTATTAAAAACACATAACATGGAATTTACCATCTTAATTCTAACTGTCCACCTCAACATATACACTCTTCGTGCTGTGAATAAATCTCCAGAACTTTCCCATCTCGTCAATCTGAAACTCGGTTCCCGTTAAACACCTCCCCTCCACCCGCAGCCACTGGTAGCGGCGGTTTCACTTTCTGCTTCCGAGTCTGACTACTGTAGACACTGCACAGACGTGGACTCGCACAGTGCATGTCTGTCCTCTCGCAACTGGCTTATTTCACTTGGCGTGATGTCCTCGGGGTTCACCCATGTTGTAGCGTCGGTCAGAATCCCCTTCCTTTTTAAGACTGGATAGTTCTCCATGGTGTGGCCATACCCTTCACCCACAGGTGGGCACTGGGGCTGCCTCCACCCTTTGGCTGTGGTGAATAGTGTTGCTGTGAACTGTGGGATGCGAATAGCTTTTCGAGGCTCTACTTTCCATGTTCTGGGGCTCCACCCAGAAGCGGAATTGCTGGATCCTGTGGTAATTCCATGTTTTTAATGTTTGAGGAACCGCCATGCTGTTTGCACAGGGCACACCATTTCACATCCCCCCCAGCAGTGCACCAGGACAGCAGTCGCACCCGTGCCCCTGAGCTTCCGTCCTCCCAACGCCAGGTGCGGGCTCTGAACCGAGGCCCGTTATCTGGAAGAAGCGCTGAATCATTCAGTAGGAACCCACGGCCGTGGATTGGAAGGTCGGACTGGGCCCCGTCTCTCCCTTTCCCAGCTGGCGAAGAAGCACAACATGGTGGTGGTCTCCCCGATCCTGGAGCGGGACGGAGCGCATGGGGACGTGCTATGGAACACGGCCGTCGTCATCTCCAACTCCGGCGCCGTCCTGGGCAAGACCAGGAAGAACCACATCCCCAGAGTGGGCGACTTCAACGAGGTGAGCCGCCCTCCCACGGCCAGCCCAGCGTGCTCGCTCACCCTCGTCCAGCTCAGGGGGTCTTTCTGTCCGGAAGTTCTGTGCCAGGTGGTGTCACATCATGTGATGCTAGCGCACAGTGGGGCTGCAGGGCTCGGGGGCCTCCCCATGTAGCCCTGCATTGCATGAGTGCATTGGATTCAGGGGTTAGGGGACCCGTGGGAGAGCCCAAAACACCTTTAGCACAGAGGCTTTTTATTCTTTTTAATATCACCTGATGTGGTTCCTGAAATTCTCCTTTGAAGTAAGTAGTAGGTGAATTAAACCACAACCAATCATGCACAAATGGGAACCAATCCCGGCGGCCGCTTGTAGGCTGTGAGCTCCCTGCCTTTCACGCTCTATCCTTGTGTGGAGGGCGGGGTTCTTGTGGGTGCTCATGTGGGAACGGAGTGAGCCACTGCCACACGCTGGTGACAGTGGGCGGATGTGTGCGTCTCTGCACACGTGTCAGGCGGGGCCTCGTGCCTGCGATCAGGGGCTCAGTCACGGGAGCTGTTTTGATTGGTTAATGCTAATCTGTGGGTTGGTAGGATGGAGAGGGTGGACCTACGAAGGAGGGACATGAACTCCAACTAGAACCCAAGATCTGAAGTCTGAGCAGCTGTTCCGGCTGCGGCGGCCCCAGTCCACCAGGACCCTCCCTGACTGTGGGGGCCCAGCCGCTCTCGGCTGGTCACACCGAGGACGAAGGATCCGCAGAGCCAGCGAGGTCCCGGGGTGGAGGGGGGCGGGGGGGGCACAGAGTTGCCCAGTGACAGCTGGACGGGGCAGGAAGATGTGCCCTCGCCTGTTTACCCTGGATTAATCGTTAGCTCTGGAGATAGGAAAGGCTTGCCTCCACGCCCCAGGATCTGCGTCGGCGTCCGCCCGCGGGCACACCCCAGCCGCTGCCCCTGCTGCGTGTGGAACGAATGGGAGGGAGCGAAATGCTCCGGAGAGGTCGGCTTAGGGCCCCAGCCCACCCTCTGCCCCCCACAGCGT